AGAATCACAGAATCACAGACTAGTAGGGGTTGGAAGGGACCTCTGTGGGTCACCTAGTCCAAATCCCCTGCCGAAGCAGGGTCACCTACAGCAGGCTGCACAGGACGTTGTCCAGGTGGGTCTTGAATATCTCCAGAGAAGGAGACTCCACAACCTCCCTGGGCAGCCTGTTCCAGTGCTCCGTCACCCTCAGAGGGAAGAAGTTCTTCCTCATGTTCAGACGGAACTTCCTGTGCTTCAGTTTGTGCCCATTGCCCCTTGTCCTGTCACTGGGCACCACTGAATAGAGCTTGTCCCCATCCTCCTGACACCCACCCTTCAGATATTTGTAGGCATTTATAAGGTCCCCTCGCAGCCTTCTCTTCTTCAGGCTGAACAAGCCCAGTTCCCTCAACCTCTCCTCGTAGTGGAGATGCTCCAGTCCCCTCACCATCCTCGTAGCCCTCCGCTGGACTCTCTCAAGTAGCTCTTCATCTTTCTTGAACTGGGGAGCCCAGAACTGGACACAGTACTCCAGATGAGGCCTCACCAGGGCAGTGTAGAGGGGAAGGAGAACCTCCCTCGTCCTGCTGGCCACACTCCTCCTCATGCACCCCAGGATTCCATTGGCTTTCTTGGCAGCCAGGGCACACTTACAAGTGCAAAGGGTCCAAACAGCCGGTCGTCCCTCCGTGTTGGAGCATGCCCTCCTGCACAAGAAGCCACCTGCAGGAGCTGGTGCTTCGGACAAATGGAGGCAGATACGCTGCTCGCTCTTCACTCATCTGTACGTGGACAGGTACACGTAATTACCCAGCAAGGGACCTGCGTGGGTCTTGCCAGAGTATCAATGCAAATTCAAGGTGCTTGGCTAATTCTGGACAATGCTCTTCCCCAGACCCCTTCCCTCGGCTTCGGAGCCAGTTTTAAAAACGACCTGGTGAGAGCTGCTTCCCCTAAGGTGCCTCCTCTAGAGGAATGCTAGGCTCTCTGGGCCCAGAGCTGTAAGCGTTTCGGCACAGTTAGCTTGAACACATTTCTTTCTCGGATAGCTTTCACGGGAACAGACAGAATAATACAAAGCATCTTCACTGTCCCTGCTGATCACAAGAAGGAAATGTATTGACTACAAAATAGCCAGGGTACAGGCAAGGAAATTGTCTCGCTCTTGGTACGTACTGTTTCTGGTGAACACTCGGCAGCATCTTCATTCTAGCTTGACATCACAGGTGAGAGATTTACAGCACCGTGTCTGTGCAGGAAACCAGACTTATTTTTAGAGCTAAATTAAAAGGGACGTTTAAAAGATGACCCTCCAACAAGCCACGGAGACTTGCAGGTCTTGCATTGCTGACATACGGCTGATTTGCCCTATTCCTCAACTCTGAAAGCTCGTCTGCTCTAATGGAGAATCAGGAGCGTGACTCAGAGCGGTGAGCCTGGGGCGGGTGGTTCCACCCGCAACGCTGATCGGGGGCACAAACACGGAGTCACGGCACTGGAGGAGGAGCACCAAGAGTGACAGCTGTCAGCGAGCGCGATGACAGCACCGTCGGTCACTACGGAGTCACGGCACTGGAGGAGGAGCACCGAGAGTGACAGCTGTCAGCGAACGCGATGACAGCACCGTCGGTCACCGTACAGAGACGGGGAGCAAGGAAGGTCTGTCAGGAAGCGACTTTTAAAAATGTATTTTCACCCAGGTACAGAACAAACGCAGTACGCATCCAGTGTGCGTAAGCTACCAGAACTACCCCTGCCATTTCCATCTGAAGGAGCTTTATCTGGCAGAAGATGAGCACTGCTTCCCTCTACCGACCTGCGGTGCCGACGCCAAGACAGAAAGCACAGGCTGAAGAAGAATCGGTTTTATACAAGTACGTGCTTACAGATTCTTTGATTAGCAACGGGAAACAGCCCTCTGCAGAGTTAAACAGGGTGAAAAACAATTAAATACTAGAACATATTTAAAGTCAGATAATTCTGTGCAAGTCTGATGAAAACACGTTATCTGTAGGTTCCCTGGTTATCATTCTTGGTTTCCTGATACAGAATCTTGTCTCGCCTGCTTTTGGCAAGGCTGAAGGAGACAAAGAACAACACAAAATGACCAGCGAGAGAAAAATACCCCCCTCCAGTCTATGCTAGAGAGCGAGTGTGGCCAAGACAGTGGGGTATTGTCGGGGGGTACGTTACAGAGAGGAATGTTAAACAGTTACAGGGTCAACAATAGCATCAATTCAGTGACCACAATAATAGCTTCCTTTGGGGCTCCAAATTCACGGACGTGAAATGTAGCTGCCTTCCTCCAGGCACAGTGTGGGGCCAGCTCAGACTTCAGTCACCAAGATCTACAGAAAACACCACAGTGGACTTTGCAGGAAAGAAAAAAAAAAAAAAAAAAAAATGCCCAACTGAGTAATAAAAAAGGTACAAGCCAGGAAGAAAAACCGATTCATGGGTTTGATCTGTTCTATTCTAGGCCATTATGTTCTCTGATGCTTCTGAACAACTGGGTTTTTTTTGTTTAGCACGTGTCCTGATGAATTACAAACAATTCACATTCAGACTGGAATGACGAGGTTGCTACAGGCTGAGAGAAGATGGAAGGAAGGTTTCAGTTCGGCATGCGCTGTGTCACAGGCGTTCCGCTCTTGTCCGTAACAAGCATCAGTCGATGTCTCTGGAGCTCCAGAGCTGGGGAGGTTTGTGTGTTGGGGTTTTTTTTTTGTTTTTAAATGACTGATAATTTGCATTCCCCCCCATCCCCACTGTTCTTACTACTGCTCGATACAACTTCATGAGGGTTCGGACCAGAGGCAGCTCTGTGGCACGGCTGGCGCGTCTCTCACTGCTCTGCAGCTGGAGGCTCCTCCTCAGTCTCCTGCTTCTCCGGCTGGGATTCCGGAGGGATGAGGCACTGCCCCTCCTCAGTACTGATTGCCACTTTGTCGGGCTGCAGCCATCGCTTTAGATGTTCTAGCGTGCTGAGGGAAAGCAAAGACAAAGTGAAATGAGAAGGCAACAAAGCCTCACAGGAATTTATCAAAAAAAAAAAGTGTCAGGAAAATCCCCCCTACGTATTTCTTTCCCCTCTGCAGGTATTGCTGGGGCCACAGATGAGGTCTGTCGTGAGACTGACTCCTGTGCCAGAGGAGCAAGCAGAATCTTTACAGTCTGCTGTAGCTGGGCTTTTTCAAATACGGTTAGAAAAGTTTTACGCTCTGATTTTTCTCCGTGAAAAGCATCCTTAGCAGGTGCATCGCCCTTCCCGTTCCTGAAGCACCAGCCTGTCTCCGTAGCCAAAGGCTACAATTCCATTCCCAGCTTTCTGGGCGGGAAGTAAGAAAACCAGTGTTAAACCAAACCAACCCAACCCCACAACTGCCTAACTGTGATGAAGATTAGGAAATGCAGGGGGGAAGGGAGGGGAACAAAACCGAAACAGGAAGCATGTATAAAAAATGTGTGACCATTAATAACGCCAAAGATTAGAGGAAAAAGGCAGTATGTGTATGTTCTAGAATGCCAACCATGCCATGGATTCTGCAGATGTTTATAAATATATACTAGCATAATTCCTATTTTACAGCCTATCTCACAATAACTGGACTGACCAGATCTACCCCGTCTCTGTTTAAATGCTGGCTGTCATCCTAGAAGTTTAATATTCTCACTCTTCAATGTATGTGCATGTATGCTTATCTTCCAGAAGTGTGATTCAAGTCATTCCATCCTGCCACAACAAAATGAACTTGCTCTCTCACCAGAGCAGAATTTCACTTGGCAATGTCCTTGAAATTATCTGTGTGCTTAAAAGTCAAGGCTTGTTTGATTCCGTTGGTGGGTGAGAATCAAATGCTTCGGCACCATTCAGGAGTGACCTCTAGATTCACAGTCGCATTCTAAGGGAGGGAAATTCTTTACTGGATAACATCCCCAGCCTTCAAAAACCGAGTAGGAAGAGCACAGATGTCTACAAAAGCTTGTTTTCCAATATAAATCACATTGAAGTTAACTGGTCAGAGAAAGAATCTAAAAACTCCTTGTAAACATGGATTATTTTTCACACGTAAACTCCCAAACTAGCTTAAGTGGATTTTCTTCAAGGGAGAAAAATCATCTTCTTTTCAGCTAGAAGAAATCATGAAAAATGCCAGGTCAAAGGAGAAATATGGAGAGTATTACAAGTGACTGGGAATGTGAAACTGCTGAAGAAAAGGACTCTCATCTTAATGCATACATCGTCTGTAAAAGGGCGATGGGTGAGAGCGCAGCGGCAGTGTAAGAGGCACAGAAGGGAGAGCCACTCGGGAAATCCACTCTCAGGACCGGTACCAACCCTGTGGAGAGCTTCAAATCCCACTTGTGTCTGAAGCGGTGCTTAACTGACCCCTTACAAAGATCTAAGGAAGGGCCTGCGGTTCACTTTTAAAATTAGGAAAAAAGAAAAGGCAACCTGGGACACACTCGACATCCCCTCCTCCGCGCTGCTCCTTCCCTACCCCAAGTGTCACAAGGGAAATTATCGAGTGGGCTCCAGTTGCTCCCACGCTGGATCACCCTGGTCTGAGGGAGCAGCCGCACCGAGCTGCGGTGAGGTGCTGTTTCTGTCACAAAGCCCTGTCGCCGGTCCTGACAACACCTCGGGGTTAGTTTTTGGGAAATAAGATCAGTTTGCCAACACGGGAAGCGGTAATCCCTTCTCCTCGACTCGCTGATTACCTCTCATCAGAGTCGTGTCCCTCCACGTAGAACTCGGACTCGAACTTCTCCTGCAGGAACCTGTCCCAGCATTCCTTCTTAGCCTGGGAGAGGGTGCGCAGCATGTCCTTGGAGGTCACCTCTTGAGACAAGCCTTTAATTCTCATCAGCCTTCTCTCTGTGAAGAGGCAAAGGACGAGTCTTTATCATCTTTATTATGTTTTTCTGACAGGGAAGAAAAGTATCTGGGCTTCTATATCAAAAAAGTTAAATTAACTTTTCAAGACTAAGTCATATCTTAAAAGCCATTTCCCCCTCTCTATTTCAAGTCTGAATGACTATTTCTTGTAGGTGTACAATATGGTATTTTTTAGGTTTATGCAATCAGCCGACTCTGCCCATTTTTGAGTTTTAATAACTTTCACACTTACTGTTCCATTTCCCTGAAATCCTGCAGGAGGGTTCAGATCCCACAGGCATCGAGTTCCCACAGTTCCCACGCCAGCTGGCATGGACTATCAGTCACACTGACTGTAGTGTGAACCCGAATAATGCCCAAACTGAGGGGAAAAGATGCGAGTGCAGCAGCGTGATCAGCTGGATATCTCATAACAGAAGGTGATATCGTGAGTTTCTGAGCCACGGGGGATGATGAAAAGCACCCCCTTACCAGATGCAGGGCAATCCAACGACAACACGCAAAGCTGCAAGGCAGCAAACTTCATTAATTCTGCTGGTCGCCAAATCCCATTATAATGGTTTCCTCCTTGTATCGTGTCAGGCACTGACTTGTAATCACACTTTTTAACCAAAAGTGCATCATCATTAGTTGAACTGGGCTAGTTCACAGCACTGCAGCCCGCCTGCTGAACTTTTTGGAGGCTGTCATGTGTCGCAGGATCGAGCCAGCACTGCTAAGTCCCTGGCAACGGAGACAATTTGAATTATTGTATCTCTCCAAACACAGCGCCAGGCTGATGCTCAGATGTCACAATCGCTAACCCTGGCCAGGTACAAACCTAGGACAGGTTATATTTCTGTTGACTTAGCCAGAATACACACGAGAAACTTTGTGCTAGTGTTGTGCTTCCATCTTGGCCGTGAGGAGACAGACACAGATCTAGCCTGAAGCCTGCCTGTAAAAATGAATCCCCTGGCATCTGCTGAATAAGCTGGAACTGCAGCAGTAAATTAACACCAGAAGAGCAATTTATGTCTTGTTGCTGTCGCACCCTTGATCTGATACCAAGAGCTCTACTTAGTGTACTGTGAAACAACAGCAGCTAAGGCAAGATGGAAGCTCTAGCAGAAATAGCTCAAAAAGCCACTCCAGCCACCCATTCCTCCTGGCCTGTTTCGGTATGCAGCCTCCTACGCAAGCCAACTATGTGTGTGGCTGCACTGCAAACCAGGTTACAAACTGCCCCAAGATAAAAATAACTCCACGGGAGGGAAGGAAGGGGGAAAAAAGCACCACAGAGACAGAATATTTTGCTACAAGCGGAGGGGGTAGCAGTCCGGCTGCTGGAGAGCAGGGGAGCCCCGAAGCTTCCTCCTACCAGGCAGCAGGCGCACCCGCCCTGGGGCTGAAAGCTGTCGTACAACGAGGGCTCCGAGGGCTCCGAAGGGAGCAGGGACTTCCTAAAACAGGGTGAGCGATTCCACGGCCTCAGAGCTACAGCCTGCAGCGCTCGGCTGTGCCGCGATGTTGGCTCCAGTACTGGTAGCCGGACCGTCCCTCGTCCTGGGTGCTTCCATCCGCTGTTGCACGGGTCACAATCAATTTCTGGCTTTATAGATTACGCAGGAAATAAGAGAAGCAATCGTGCAAAGATGATCTGCATGGTCTGTCATCTTAAAATACAGATTCTAGCAGGCATGACATGGAAAGGCATCACAGCTTACTTTCCTATACCCTTTTGCCTCCTCTCCAGCCAGAAAACAGGTCCCAGAAAGAAATTTCACTTTTCTCCGTCCATTCAGAAGTGTCTCCCCAGACTCCATTAAAAGGAATGAGACAACTGGTAGCACAAAACCACGCAGGCTCTTCAGTGAGTTCAGAAGGTATCTCCCCTCCCCAGGTCAACTACAGCAGGACTACATGCTCTTCAGAGGAAAGCCAGCAGTGTCCCTACCCCACTTGTTTTGGCGGAAAACCCCAAATTTGTTGGGTTTTACTGGATAAAGAGTTCCTTCCTGTGGCACAGCTGAAGAAGCTATGATCGTGCTCCTCATTTCCACTCATGCACTTGCAGTAAATGCGTCAGACACTCTGTGAAACAGCTGCCAGACGCCTTTCCAAGCAGAGCTGTGGCACCAGGGCCTCAGCCACAAACACAGAGCCGTAGGTGCCACCAGGCACCTGGGCAAACGGAGAAATTGAAGCCTTACCAGACACTCACCCAGGGATGCCAAGTACACCTCCGAATCGTGCAGGGGTGCCCAGGGCTTCGGATCCGTTTGGGAAGAGCCACCGGAGCCGCTGCCCTGGCCTCCCCCGTCGGTGCAGGAATCCAGGAAGGAGTCCGTGAAGGCATCGCCCGCGTCCTTCTGGTCAGGGTGCGGCAGGCACGAACAGATCTCAGCCCAGAGGTCCTCGCTGGACCTGGCCACCACGGAGTCGACGCTCTCAATCATCCTCATCGTGAAGCCCTGGGGTGGGGGGAATGAAATGATGAACACGGAGCCGAAAACCCTCCCTCCTCCCTCCCAGGCCTCCCCCCCTCTGCCCGAGTCCTGTCAC